CCACCCTCTCAGACATCTCAAACTAAACCGCCAACTACAAGTACTGCGCCGTTTTAAAATAGGCCAGGAATTAATAAACTTGTGTAAAGGTTGGTTTTCACGCTACATCTTATTGTACGTTTTTATGGATAGGACAAATCCTATACAATAAAACGTGGCGTGTAAACAGCAAAACGTACTTCTTGTCGAATCGAAATGAAATCCAAGGTCAGATCGCAGAAATGATGGGAGAAGCATAGTTTTGCGAGAACTGATAGGATCTCGACTAGCTCCACTGCAGTTCGCTTCGTTTTTCCCAAAAAAGCCCAAGATTCAAAATTTTATAAAAAAGTTTTCCGTATTTGTGACAAGTGAAAAATAAAGATTATAGTTCCTCAGTCGTAGTATCGTTATAGTTGAAAAAATAAAAGAAAGCAGCCGTGTTTCCTCCATAATAAAAATAATCACTAAACAAACTTCACACAACAAGTATCTAAGAATTAGAAATGAGGCAGAAAACGAACGGGAAAACGTAGTGTGTATACACTGGACAAAACGTACAAGAAATCATAGCGTGAAAACCGGGCTTAAGAAGGAAAGCGCACAAAGGACAACAATCTCAATTAAAGAATGAAAATATTGGAAACCAATAATTACTAAACTAATAACTATATTAAACTGTAAATTAAAATAAATTTTTGAAATCGACGACTTACACCTTTTAATAATAATCTATACTTTGTCTCAAAGTGACTAGTCTGTACGATATGCAATGCTAACCTTATGGGAATTTAGCCAAACTTTTATTAGTAGCAGTAGTATAATAAAATGTGCATTAAATAAACACTTGTTTCAAAGTTTTTCAAATACTTTCTTCTAAGTTATTTAGTAATTAAGAAACAATTAGAGTAATTCGTGTACAGAATATTGTTACGAACATGCATTCAGTGTGGCTCGCCTAACGGTCGCATCTCGAAGCACCCAGAAGTTTTGGCGATATATCAAAGCGCTGTAAAATTCCACCCGTCAAATAACGAATTAGAGGTGGGACTAGTCCCGAATATTCTCGAACATAATACTTTGGTATATATATGTAACGAAATTAGGAGTTAAGTTTAGTTGATAAGATAGTACCGAACTGTAAAGTTATAAATAAATATATTTATATAAATTCGAACCGCTCGTTTTATTTAATCTCGCTACAATAAGTTTAAAAGCTTGATACATCCAGGGCCTTAATTAGTTTTTATTTGTTCTTCGGAGCGCGTAAACATATTCGAGTTACGATTATTAGTACCATGTTGGATGTACTGTTACTGTTTTGTTATTGTTATTATTTGTTGGTGGCTGTTGTTGTGATTTGCTGTTAGCAATAAATGTTATTTTCTGTTGTTGGCTATTGTTATATTTGACGCAGAATTTTTACCTCAAAATGGAGAAAATTGTTCAATGGAAACGTGGAAAAGCTCTGAAACTTTCAGAGAATTAGATACTAATGAATATTATAAATTATCATCTTAATCAGGATAACAACGATTTTGTATCAAGTGTAATTCGAAAAGTATCAGCAATGAGTGGTGTTTGCGAAAAGACTCTGTTTCGCATACGACAGGAATATTCACCACCTGCTGAATTACAATCTTCAAAGAGCAGGCCCAAGAAGTGAAAGGTTAGTAATTCTCGTGACAACAAATACGATGAAGGTGTCAGTGGCCAAATTCGTAAAATAGTTCATCAATTTTTTCGTGACAACATACCACCAACAATAAACACCATATTAGCTGTTGTAAATGTCGAAGAAACTTTGCTCAACTTTTCACGGGCCACGCTACATCGCTTGCTGAGTGATATGTATTTTGTGTTTATAAAACGTGACAGAAATTCAATTTTGATTGAAAAACTAGAAATCATCTCGTGGCGTCATCGTTATTTACGCGCAATTCGCAAATACCGTGCAGAAGGATACAACATAGTGTATTTGGATGAATCATGGGTAAATATCGGACACAGTGCGAAAAAAGAATGGGTTTATAAAACAATCACATCTCATCGCTATGCTTTCGTTCGTGGTCTGACAACAGGATTAAAAGTTCCAACAGCTGGTGGTGCATGGTTCATTTTATTGCACGCAGGATCTGCCAGTGGATTTGTTGATGGAGCAGAGCTCACGATTTTGTCAAAGAAAAATACTCAGGACTACCACGACGAAATGGATGGACCGACCTTCGAAGATTGGTTCGAAAATAACTTAATGCTAAATTTGCCAGAAAAAACTATTGTGGTAATGGACAATGCCTCCTATTACAGCAGAAAGTCAGAACAAATTCCCAACAGTTCAACACTAAAAAAAGATATTCAAGAACGGCTTCTGTCAAAGCACCTATTTTTTGAAGAAGACTACCTAAAATGCGAGCTACTTAATGTAGTCAAGGTCTTCAAAGCAAAATATGACAGGTACGTAATAGAAGATATTGCAAAAAAGCACAATGTGAAGATTCTGAGGCTCCCACCCTATCACTGTGAACTCAATCCCATCGAAATGGTTTGGAGTGAAGTGAAACGGTATATAGCTGGACGCAACGCGAATTTTAAAGAAGATGAAATGCGAAATTTAATTACAGCAGCGTACCAGGTCATTACGCCAGAGAAATGGAAAACTACGTAAACCACGTAATAGCAACAGAAAAAAAATGTGGGAAATTGACAATTTGTTGCATGATATCGAACCAATTATTATAAATATAAATAACGGAGATAGTGATGACAGTGACGATAATAATGATGATGATGATAGTTAAGCAGAAACTAAATGTGACAGCGATTGACAGAAAAAGGAACTAAATATAATGGTGTACAATTACGATTACTTACACACGAAATTAAATACAATGACTTCTTTTATTTTCAACTTATTTATTAGTTTTATTTTCGGATATTTCTATGTTTTCTTACTGCCCACATATACAGTGTGGTTTTTAAAAGTCCTTTCCTCCTTAACTTTTGAACGGAACAATACATAAATAAAATGTTTCTTTATATTTTAGTTTTATTTTATTCGATTTTATTTAAATCTATAAACAAATGGTTTGTATCGCTAGCACATACTGTAGAATTAAAAACAAACTGCTTGTGTGACATAAATAAAAGGCATTTCTTAATTTCTATTTCATTTTAATTTAACCCAAGTATGTCGTAGCAAATATTATTAATGTTTGAGAACCACTGATAGAAGGAAGCCAGGCAGGATCGTTAGTGGGCATTAGTACTTAAACTACCCTCAACATAAAAGATGGATTAGGCTAAGTAGTAAGAAGTGACGTTTATTTAATATGCATACAGCCGATGATATCTTGTTTAATTTTTCTAATATAATAATCCCATAGCATGACTATTTGTTTATTTATTTAATAATTTTAGCGTATTGACTAGCCTAATACAAAGCCACGTCGGGACATCAAGCGACGACGTCAGCAACGTTAAGCCAAGGGCTCTCTCCTTCACTCCCTTCCACAGCTATTATTGTTACTAGTGAATTTATTTGCCTATAATTACAGACCGCTATGCAATCGCGGTTGTGGATTGTGGATTGCGGATTGTGGATAGAGTGTCTCTTTGTCTTTGCATCCCTAGATTTCCTCAAGTTTTATTTGCATAAATTGACAATGGCTGATGGGATAATGGCGAGAATTTATAATTGCATTCTGCAGTTATTTGAGAAATACTCCACTAAATGAATTTCGACAGGAAGGATAATGGAGGTAGGTATGTAGAAAGCTTAGTAATGTAGCGGGAAGTTTGACAAGTAAATACCAGAAAGATAAGACCAGTGAATAAACATGGCGAATGTACATACAGGTATCTATTATTGTTGAGTACAACATACACGGATGCTTTGAAATGAAATTTGTATGAATTCATAAGCACCGTATGAATTTATTATTTAGTATCTTTAATTGCAACATTGATAATATAGATATGTGAAATATGTACAACTGGTTTCAAAAAAAACTGATACTCATAGGATATTTAGAAAATTGTTGAAAATTGAGCAGTATATTTTGAAGGATAAATATTTATTATCTACTCCAACATACGAAGTCACCTAGGGCTCAATAATACGGAAAGAGTCCCGCCAAAGCTCAATACTTTTGATACCATAGGTATCTGGGCTGAGTGAATTTTCATCTTAAAGGGACTGTGAGCCGTATGGCTAAATCTAGATAATAACGTCAAACTATTGGTTGACATCAGGAAAGATGTTTCCCGAAACTGAGGGTTTCCTACTTGCCATTCAGGATCAGATTATTATTGATCCTCAAGTCCAAAATGACAAATGCCGATATGGATGCCAAGCCCAAGAAACCATCCCACATTTTACCGGTGGCTGCCAGCCATTTGTCGGTACTGATTGTAAAGAACGCCATGACTCAGTAGGAAAGATTATCCACCAAGAACTAGCTGACAAACTGGGACGTTTCCAAACCGATTATCTTTCGTATTATCAATACGTCCCTAACATAATGCTTGAAAATGACAACTACAAGCTATACTGGGACCACACTCTGCTTACAGACCAACCAACGGCGCATAATAGACCGGATCTCATACTAGTTAATAAAATTACTAGGCAAACAACACTTATTGATGTGACAACACTTATTGATGTAGTGCACCGTGATTTCTGTAGAGAATTCTGCTCTATACACGTATTGTTGGATTTTCAATCTCTACACCAACTTTAATGTACCTATCACTATCGAAAATAATTTCTAGTCCTCAGTACAAATGATATCAAAATTATCGGCCTAAGAGACTCCTGTATGAATCTAGTGATTTAAATGGATCAAATAAGTTTATTGTCCATTTGATTTTATCTTTTACCACACATATGCTTTATTGTCACTGAAAATTGTTTTCATTATGTAGACCACCAATGCGAAGATCAACTATTTCATTATAAAACAGTTTTCTTTTTTTTTAAATATCTATTACGATTAAAACAGGAAACAAGAAAAACTTACCAAATACGATCCAGGTCCTGGAAAATTATCCGCAGGTTCTTTCCATCTTGGAGATTGTGGTACAATGTAACCTCTTTCATCAAGTCCCTTTCTAACTTCGTATGAAGAAGGACCTGTAATGCAAATTAATGCTGTCTGGTAACTTACGACGTGTACGAACGCTTGAACATAATGCATGTCGGTATGGTTATTTTGTTTTTGTTATATACAACTGTATGTGTTATGGTAAATAATGTTGTACGTAGTAAATAATGTATTGTTGACTTAAGTAACCATTTATTTAAACACTACTGTACACTCTTACAATGTTACATATCTTAAAGTGTAATAGTACTCAGTTGACATTGTGACAATACGCGATATATTAACTTGCCATATTGACGTTAAATTAGGTCTCTTCTCCAGATAATGATTGTTGTCGCTTTTAATAGCCCTGGCCTTGCAAATATCAGCACTTTACTTATTCGTGTCAAGTTTGTTCCCTGACCTACACCAAGTATGTGTCGCGCGCGGCAATAGTGCTAATTTACAAATTCTAATTAGAGTATATTATTTATGAATGTCTTCGATTCAAATTACTAAACATATTTTATTTAAACAAATGAGAAACTATGTCACACACGTTACTTTTGAAATTATAATATTTTGAATGAATAAATGAATTATAATATTTTAGGAATAATACCACAGTGTGATGTTTAAGGAACGAATAAAAAATTTAAAAAGAGTCGAAATGGTGTAATACAGATATATACGAAAAAGGAACAAGCAAGGAAAAAATACAACAGCACAATAGAGGAAAAAACCACAAAAATTACCAAAAACACAAAACCAGTAAAGAAAATAATAAGAAAATTTAAAAAAAAAGTTAAAAAAAGTTTCGTGAATCACTAAATCAAAACTATGTATATAAAGTGTGGAAACCATTTACGGAATAAAATTGTTTGTGTTTTTATTTTAGAAAATAATAAAAAACGTTGTGATAACTTAACTTTTAAATTTAAATGTGCACTTTTTAATCATAAATTTGAATATACAGAGTGATCCACGCAAGTCTGGCATTGTCCATAATCTGTATTTTAAAGAAACACCCTGTATATTTTTATGTTTTTAAAAGCTCCATTGATCTCCACGAACTATATCATATCTATATTGAATAATATAAGGTGAAATGTTAAAATTAAGTATAATTTTCTTCAAGACAATTCATAGAATATCCGAGGTAATTGATTGGATTACATTAAAATAAATGCTCAAAATGTTCTCCAGCTTGTTGTCGGCAATAATACAGTCTCCTATAAAATTCGTCTCAAACTTTGTTTAAAGTTTGGGGTGAAATATTCCGTATTTCTGTAGTTATCCTTTCTTTGAGGTCTTCAATGCTAGTTGGTTGTATTGCATATACTTTGTTCTTGAGATAACTCCATAGAAAAAATCCAAAGGGGTAAGATCTGGCGACCTAGCTGGCCACTCAATAGTACCCCTTCGTCCAACCCATTTATTAAAGAAGATTTCATTTAAGTAATTTCTGACCAGCATAATGGGGTGTTGCACCGTCCTGCTGCAACCAGCTAGTTTCATGCGGTAGGGTCGGATCTATTGGATTGGGATATAAGTTAGCCAACTGAGGAAGAACATCGTCTCTTAGCATGCTTAAATATTTTTCCGCTGTCAAATTACCATCTACAAATATAGGACCAATCATATTATCTCCAATAATACCTGCCCAAACATTTAACTTTTGAAAATACTGAGTGTATGTCTCACGAATCTACAGGGTGCTTCATCAAAAATAAGCATTTTGGACCATACCAGACTTGCATGGATCACCCTGTACATTTAAATTTATCTTTAAACAGCGTAAATTTAAAATTAAAAGTTAACGTGTCCCAGAGTGTTTTATTATTTTCTATAAGGACACAAACAATTTTATTCCATAAGTGGTTTCCACACTGTATATCAAATATAACAAGAGAATGTTTGAAAGAAAGTAGAAAGTCTATGAGAAGTGAAAGGAAAAGAAATTATAGGATTAAGAAACAAATATATCCAAATATTGACAGATATAACCGAAGTAATCAGAGACAATAGAGAGGGGCAGTTTTCTGGTAATTTAGTGTTTGTGCGTATGCGTATGTGCGAATGTAGGTGTTATATTCAAACACTGAACCATCACCAATAAAAATATTGTATAATTAAATTATGGTCTACTCACAAGGATTCCTAATATGGACTTCATCAAATAGTTCTTTTTTGCGACTGGTGGCATTGAATGAAACATCAAGAGCATTGTGGGATTTGAAGTTTTTAGTTGCCTTAAAAGCGTCCATATCGTTATAGCGAGCAGGAGCACCATAAAACTTAAAACGAAACAAAAAAATTAAATCTAAGGGAAACTAATAACAATATAGTAAAAACAATCATAATTATTTAACAATACATTAAGACGACGTACAAAACTCTAAATTACTGTAGTTGGGCTAATGAAATACTTTGTTGGGACTTTTCACATAAAACTATTCTCAGACTAAATGTCTCCGGCTTCTATATAACATGTAGCTTCTCCTTTTTAAAAAATTTTAAAGTGTTTGTTTGTTTTTGTGTATTGTATTGTTATGTCCAAATTTACATGTATGACATTCTGCTCATGTCGGATAGGCCACAACTGACGAAATGCCCCTGAAGATGATCTATTGATTGAAAGTACTTGGGCAAGATTAAATTAATCACCGTGTTCGATAATTGCCTTGTATACCATCAAAGTTTTTTTATTAATCATTTAATAAAATTTTACATATAAGAAATGTTTTGCACAGTCGGTCTACAGAAGAATTATACGAGTATACTGGACAAAACACAGAATCAATCCGTCCATTCTGGAAGAGCTTAATATAAAAGACAGACTAAAAAAATAAACTGAGCATACCCCAATTACTTCAGCTACAAAGCTAGAAGGACTGGCATCAAGAAACTATTGCTAATAGAAGGAAAGGTGTAGGCTTAGGGAATGAGAAAAGCAATCATAAATCCAATATATAAATAATCTTCAAATAATTCGTCATCGACAATTTAATCTTGTTAAAATAAAAAAAAAATTAAAGATTTAATTAGCATTAAATAAACAAAAGAATTACGACACTTAAGCATTTTAACAAGAAAATAGAAAACGGTAGAGAAAAGAGGATCTACTTTAATCGAAACACATTCAATTTCGAGCGAGATTTCATCAATTATCTCGTAACAGTTAGATTTACATCATCAGTGCTAGTTGTCGTCGGCTGGTTGGCTTACAACGTTAAATAGAAAGAGGCCATTTATCTTAATCAGCAGGATATTGGACAAAATTCTGTCGTACGACTACGGGAAGCGCCATTCCTGCCTGCTGGGATATTACTAAGTTTTCCCGCTGGTATTCGGAAAAGTGTCGAAAGAAAATTTCTTGAAAACGACGACGCACTCAGACTTGCGAGAATTAAAATTGATTATATTGGAATATACAGGGTGCTTTCATAAAACAATATATATTGAAACAATAGGTGTTGAAGCCGTTTTAGCATGTTGATCTGCGAGTTCGTTGCCAGGTATACCAATGCGAGACGGAATCCATATAAAGGTGAGCTTGGTGTATAATTCATTTGATCCCACGGCATTTTTTTTGATAATACAAGATTTTTTTGAATGTCTATATTGGATCTGGGACAAATAATAACAATTTATTGTTATTTAACATACAAAATTATATTTTTAGCAAAAAGTAGGTGTACTCGTACGAGTACAATGGGCTGATCGGGAGTCAAAAATATAAAACATTGTGTTAAAATGAAAATATTTTATTTTCTTCTTATATATAGGTACATACTTGGATATCTCCTGTATTATAATCTAACTAATATGAAATTGTACAAAACAATTATGTTCAATACACAGAGTAAATTCACACTTTATACAAATCCAATGTACTTTTAGATGACATAAGCGACATCGAAGTTGTTTATCTATTTTCTTTGGAAAATACCGCTTCCATCCATTTTTAGACTAATTGGCACATATCCTGCTAGTCGTTTTCTATAATAAGTAGATTTCCCAAAACTTCTTAAATAATAACGTACTACATCTCGTTGAAAAGTCAAAAAATCCGTTTCTTTATTTTCAGCAAATATTTGTAACCTACACGAGTTAACAAGAGCTTAGTTGAGCATGTGGGTTAAAAGGGGCTACCACCATTTTTACCTTGTGAACTGACTCGGTAGTTATTTACCAATTGGTCAAAAGATCAACACCGCCCATTGAATCATTGTATGATAAGAAAAGTTTTGATTGAAGTACATCAATTTTTCATTTAGCAGCAGCACGCCAACGATTCACTTTTTAAAATGGTTCAATACAATCGTAATTGCCATTGTGACGACATTGTTGCACTTCCATTTTACAAAAAGTAGTAGACTTAGGAAAAGCGATATTCGAAATACCCACTGAAATATCATAAGGTGGAGACTGAATCGCTAAAACATATAATGAGGCAAATACCAGTAGGGAGAAGGTCAAAGGGAAGACCTAAACTTAGATACATGGAACAAGTGGAACAAGATCTGAAAACACTTCAGATTACCAACTCGAAAAACAAAGCAAGGAACAGAACAGAATGGCGGGAAATCCTAGAACAAGCCAGAACATAGAAAGGGTTGTCGAGCTACTGATGATGATGATGAAGATCGGTAAATAATTCCTAAATGCATAAAATGGAAGCTAGAGAGTCTGTACAAATGGCAACATTTTTGTTCGGGACGCTAATATGCTTAGCAACCTCTAAGAAGCTATAGAGTATTCCAGTATATACGCTGCATAAAAGAGGAAAAAAAGAAGCATAAAAGACAGGTGACTGAATAGCAAACCACCAAGAAAACATCGGCGTATAATACTTGATCCAAGTGATTATTATAAAATTAATGGGAAAATCCCAGTAGTTGGCTGTATACCATCGTTTAAAAAAACACAGAAGTTAAAACACTTCGCACTTGTATTGTGGTATAAAATCACATAGTTAAAACTTTTTTAAAAAAGTGTCGTCAAACTTTATGTACTAGCATAACGTTTTCGATCTGAACAGATCATCCTCAGTGTCTTATGTAATTGAAGCTAATAATAAAGTTATCGCTGTGACCTCCATAAAACGACACAGACCAACTGGCTGAGGTGACAGGAATATAATTTAAGAAGACAGCTGAACGTGACTAGGTATAGGTGTGTTTCAAGACTAATGTAATTTTTTAATTGTAAAATTACAAAATTTATTTTGAAATCGTAGGCTTCGACGGCCAGAGTCAGAATTATAGTTTATTCGTCTTCCGGGTTTGGACCGTGTCATTTGTGAGTGACCCAAAAGTGGGTTCATCTCGACGTTTCGCTACAATTGTATGTAGCTTCTTTAGGAGAACAAAGAAAAAGAAATCAAAAGACAGGAAAATGGGTAGTTAGCAACGGTAACTCAGTTACTCAACGCAACCAGAGGCGAATACTAACTACCAAGATGGGCATTTGGTCACAGTAACTCAACTACTTAACGTAGCCAGAGGTGAAAACCAAATGCCAGGACAGGGATTCACGTCCAACAGCTCAGAACACTAACGCGTCGAGAGGCGGGGAGTGAATTCGCCTCTGGTTGCGTTGAGTAACTGAGTTACCGTTGCTAACTACCCATCTTCCTGTCTTTTGATTTGTTTTTCTTTGTTCTCCTGAAGAAGCTACATACAATTGTAGCGAAACGTCGAGATGAACCCACTTTTGGGTCACTCACAAATGACACGGTCCAAACCCGAAAGACGAATAAACTATAAAAATTTATTTTGTTGTAATAATAACTAATATCTTATTAATGATCCTGTAGTTACAATTAAATTTGTTTAAATGATAAAATGTATTGTCCTAAATCAGCAAATCTCTATTATTGAAAAAGAAATGAACTATTAAATTAGTGGGATTAATGTTTAAGGTTGAATTTACGATATCATAAGTGGTAAGAAAATGATAAAGCTAGAATATGAAAGGAAGTGATGTGGTACTATCCACATAATAGTGTAGAAAGGGTATAAAAAAATTAGTATATACTAAAAGATAGTTGAAATCCAATGACATGGAAGTAAAAATTAATTTTGATTGGGTAATGGTGGTTGCCTAGCCATGGTAAGAGACCTGTTGTGTGAATCTCTGGGAGTTAAAAATTTGATTAGTAAAATGAATAGTCTATTAACAAGTTGTATGAGATATGATATTCTAACTATTATTATATTGTAGTTTTTGATAGTTTTAATATATTATTACCCTATTGTGAAGTATGTTGAATGAATATAAATGAAGCTGAGAATGAATGACTGAAAATATTAATATAGGGAAGATGTAATGTAAAATGTTTGATATGTGTGTGAATATGTATTAGAGAAAAAATGAAATAATAGAGACTATATGTTGGGTTAACTGTGAGAGGATTAGATTGACTGTATATCTGAGTTGGTTAAGTGAAATGTGTATTATTGTGATTATTATGTAAAATTTAAAAACATGCTTATATCACGAGTTTTAGGTATTTCATAGTTATTGAATTTTGTTAAATATCTCTTAGCTTGAAAGGAGTTGCATAATCCAAGGAGGAATTGTATGAAAGAGGATGCTATTTGTGAGTGTAAAGTTAATGTCGCTTGTTATTGTGGATAATATAGAAAATAACGTTTTCATTATTAGGAAGGGGGTGGTATAGATTATTGTGAATAAACGGTAAACAGAATTAAGGAAGTTAGAAGAGATTTAAATAATCTTGTTTATGAGTTTTATTATATTCCGCATGAGATTTTCCTTAAAACTTGTTTAAATTAAAAAATATGAACATCAAGAACGTAACTGTCTAGCTGTGAATGACCAATCTGTAAGATAATTACGATTGAATAAAAACAGTTTCTTTTATTCAATCAAGTAATATTTTTTATTGTAGTTTTACTGTGAAACATCTTGTAAAAGCCACGTAATATATCTTACATTTTAATCTTTGTGACTGGAATTTATGTTTGTGAAGTTTTTCCTTAATCACATTTCACTCCGATTGCCAATCAATCTCTTTACAACCACAATGCTTTTACATCTCGTTCGCTACCAAATAAACTTCTCTTTCTCGTCTCTCAGTTACACCAAAGGCGTAAATAATAATAAACAAGTAGCTAAGTGACAGCGTTTGGCATAGAGAACCGACTTGTTAATTGAAAGTTATTGTGTCAAGCGTTGATTGTTCTGCGACAAAGCTTTTTGATCGGAATACATGTTACTGCACCCCGACCGAATGTGCCCTCTCGCTTGCACGCTTTTAACACCCCTT